AAGGAAAGGAAAGGAAAGGAAAGGAAAGGGAAGGGAAGGGAAGGGAAGGAAAGGGAAGGAAAGGAAGAAAAGTGGGAGAGAAGGAAAGGAAAGGGAAGGGAAGGGAAGGGAAGGGAAGAAAAGAAAAGAAAAGAAAAGAAAAGGAAGAAAAGGAAAGGAAAGTAAAGGAAAGGAAGAAAAGTGGGAGGAAAGGAAAGAAAGGAAAGAGAAACAAAAGAGAAAGAGAAAGAGAAAGGAAAGGGAGAAGGGAGGAAAGATGATGGTTGGGAGGGAGGGAGGGAGGAAGGAAGGGGAAGGCATGCTAATACCCATCTGAATTGAGTTGTCTCTTACAGTTTTTAAGTGTCCAGCACTTACTGCCCAGGGCTAAATGTTTTCTCCTCCTGAGGTCTTCTCAAGTATGGTGAAACTGCCGGGAGCCACGGCCCTTTTCACACGGTAACTCACACCTTCCCCTTCACGGGTAGTTTGGGGGATATGAATGTCCCGATTCACCCCACTTACCTAAAAGGGCTTCCTTCAGATGTGCAGAGGCGGTAAAAGCTGCGGCAGCTGCAGCAGCTGCATTTTCCGTCTCCAGGGTGTCCTCATTGAGGTCACTCCTGGCTCAGAGAGAAAGGGACAAACGGTGAAGAAACAATATTAGTGAAACTGCTCATTTTAAGCCATTTTCCTCTAGAAAATTCACTTGGCTGCTTCACGCTGGCTTTCTTTTAGGTAAAATGAATGACATGGCGTAATATGTCACGAGTTGTGGTTCATCTGAGGTTGTTATTTACCCTCTTTTAAGAACTGCTAAGGACCAGATCATTTTTTACTACATAGCCCAGATACATAAAACCACAGACTCCAAGAGAGTGTACAGGCAGTCCTCGATTTACAATGGTTCAAAGTTACAACGGCACTGAAAAAAGTGACTTATGACCATTTTTCACTTGTAGCATCCCCAAAATTCAGACGCTTGGCAAGTGGCTCGTGTTTATGACGGTCGCGGTGTCCCTGGGGTCATGTGATCCCCTTCTGCGACCTTCTGACAAGCAAAATCAATGGGGAAGCCAGATTCTCTTAACAAAGATGGTTACTAGCTTAACAAATGCAATGATTCCCTTAACAAAGATGGTTACTTGCTTAACAAATGCAATGATTCCCTTAACAACTGTGGCGAGAAACGTCACAAAACTCACTTGACAAGTGTTTCGCTTAGCAACATAAATTTGGGGGTCAATTGTGCTCGTAACTTGAGGACTGCCTGTAAGATTATCTGGGACACTACACATCCTCTCTATGACCTGTTTTCCTTGTTCCCTTCTGGAAGGAGGGGGCTTCGTGGTATCCGAAGCAGAACATCCAGATTCAGCCAGAGTTTCATTCCATACAGCATTAACCTTGTGAACTCTCAAGCTTCCTCCTTCCGTTATATATTCAAGATGGACAGTATTTAATATTTATTTGTTATGTATATGCAGGGGTGTAGGTCTATACATATGTTGTTCATAGTATGTTTAGGTGTGCGTCATGTATGTGTTTCACTTTGAGAGCGGGCAACTAAATTTCATTTTTGATGTGTGCCATTGTGCCCACAGTAAAAAAATGACAATAAAGGTTATCTTATCTTATCTTATCTTACTTTCTTCTTCACGCGACCGTGCAACCACTAGTTTAATGACTGTTCAAAGTTATGATGGCGCTGAAAACAGTCATTTACGACCGATCCTATTTACGACCAATACGAAGGCTGTTGCAGCAGTAATTCCCATTGAGTGTGTGGCGTGTCACAATGAGACGGGCAGCGTATCAATTTAGTAAATAAATAAATGTGATTAACAAGCCTCGTCCAATCATTTCAATCCCTCTGTACTTCCTGAAGTGGGACTGTGAAAAGGAAGATAAGGACGACCATAAGAAAGGCTGAGCGCCAAAGAATGGAGGCCTTTGAACTCTGGTGCTGGAGAAGACTCCTGCGAGTCTCCTGGACTGCAAGGCGATCCAACCGGTCAGTCCTAGAGGAGATCAACCCCGACTGCTCTTTAGAAGGCCAGATCCTGAAGTGGAAACTCAAGGACTTTGGCCACCTAATGAGAAGGAAGGACTCACTGGAGAAGAGCCGGATGCTGGGAAAGATGGAGGGCAAGAGAAGAAGGGGACGACAGAGAATGAGGTGGCTGGATGGAGTCACTGAAGCAGCAGGCGTGAGCTTCAATGGACTCCAGAAGATGGTAGAGGACAGGAAGGCCTGGAGGAACGTGGTCCATGGGGTCGCGATGGGTCGGACACGACTTCGCAACTAACAACAACAACACGTAGGATACTCCAGAGCTAAAAGCTCCTGGCTTCTAAAAAAGAGTGGGTAGATCGGGCAGACAGCTGTGTCCTTCATCGCCTGGCTACACAAAAGGGAAAACCTGACATTAAGCGCAGCGGCACCATCTTCCCCTCAGCATCTGCTAACTGCAGATTACAGCACAATCGTCCCGTATGTGACGCTAACATGCTTTGTCTGCCCAAGTCACCAACCGTTTCTTTGCCAGGATGACGTCTTTATTTTTATTTATTACAAGAGCACAGTGAGTGCACTCAGGCTGTCAACCAGGGCTCAGGAATATCCTTTCTCGCTCTCGGCTACTAGTCAAACGGGTCTTGAACTCACAAGAGGAAGGTGTGGCGTTTCCCAAATATTTTAAGATGATGCCGGTTCAGATGAAAGCAAAATGTTTCCTTTAGACTTTCTGGCAGCGCATTGCGTAGAAATAAACCTTGCCAAACTTGGGGGGGGGAATAATTGCAGTGTTTGGGATGCTTTATTAAGCGGGTACATTAAAGGCTGCCTGGAATCGATTTAGTCTCATTCCCCCCCCCCCGGTATGGCAGGCTTGGGGGAAGTCAGCTGCAACTTTCAGCAACTTTACAACCATAAACTTTACAATTTCTTTTTAAAAGAGATTAAGTGACAAAGGGTTTTTTGTTGTTTTTGGTAAAAGCTATTTTATTTTTATGTGGCCTTAGTAAGGCCACACTTGGAATACTGCATCCAGTTTTGGTCACCACGATGTAAAAAAGACGTGGAGACCCTAGAAAGAGTGCAGAGAAGAGCCACAAAGATGATCAGGGGTCTGGAGGCTGAAAGATAATAAAGAACGGTTGCTGGAATAGAAGAAGGGGACGACAGAGAAGGAGGTGGCTGGAGGGAGTCCCTGAAGCAGGAGGCGTGAGCTTCAATGGACTCCAGAAGATGGTAGAGGACAGGAAGGCCTGGAGGAACGTGGTCCATGGGGTCGTGATGTCTAGGAGGCTAGATGTGGGCTTGGAGACAGATTGGTGCTGCCCGTGTGCCAATCAGCTGTTTGTGTGTCAATCACTGGTGGCAGAGCAGCAATGGAGGAAAAAATGTGTACCTTCAAGACACTTTTGATCTCCAGGGACTGACCATTACTTTACTTATTTTTTAAGAATTGGTTTGAACTTGTCTTCTTTTTCCTAGTGTTGAGAGCTACTGGCCCAAGGTCATCCAGCTGGCTTCATGGCCAAGGCAGGACTAGAACTCACCGTCTCCCGGTAATTGGCCCAAAATCTCCCAGCTGGCTTTTGTGCCTAAGGCAGGACTAGAACTCACCATCTCCTGGGGATTGGCCCAAAATCTCCCAGCTGGCTTTTGTGCCTAAGGCAGGACTAGAACTCACCGTCTCCTGGTGATTGGCCCAAAATCTCCCAGCTGGCTTTTGTGCCTAAGGCAGGACTAGAACTCACCGTCTCCTGGTGATCGGCCCAAAGTCAGCCAGAGAGCTTTCAGGCCCAAGGCAGAACTAGCATTCACCATCTCCTAGTGATTGGCCCAAAATCTCCCAGCTGGCTTTTGTGCGTAAGGCAGGACTAGAACTCACCGTCTCCTGGTGATTGGCCCAAAATCTCCCAGCTGGCTTTTGTGCTAAGGCAGGACTAGAACTCACCGTCTCCTGGGGATTGGCCCAAAATCTCCCAGCTGGCTTTTGTGCCTAAGGCAGGACTCTGGTGATCGGCCCAAAGTCATCCAGCCAGTTTCAGGCCCAACACAGTACTAGAATTCAGTCTCCTAGCTTCTAATCTGATGTCTTAACCACTACCCCAAACTGGATCTCAACAATGAAGGAAGGGGTGTGTGTTAAAAGAGGACCTGCCCCAGGTGTCAAATATTCTTGGTACACCACTGAAATAGCTACAGTTTTGAATCTATCCATCATACCAGCTAAATAGCTCATCTTTTTACTCACCCATGCTGGGACAAATTGGTGGTAACGAGGACGGTCTTCACTTCCTCCACACCGCTGCCGTCCACCACACTATCTGGAGTTGTTACCACGACAACCTCCTCCATATGCATGCTCATATCTTGCGTCGCCATCATTAAGGAGGCTTCTTTAGAAGCTCTTTATCCTGTTGAAGGACAACAAAGCGAAGGAGTTACCACTCTACTCATCTGCTCTGAATGCATTTCATCATTTTCAACCAGCATCAGGGACATCTTGTACGGTAGCATATAATTTCCACCTCTGCAAGCCATTACAACGGATGTGAGAACATTTCTCTTCAGTGTCATCAAAATTCATTAATGAAGCTAGTACCGTTCTAGATGGACTGAGATTGCAACTTCTGGAATTTCCAGAAAAACACACATTTTTAAACATTTTAGCAATAGCAATAGCACTTAGACTTATGTACCCACTTCATAGTGCTTTACAGCCCTCTCTAAGCGGTTTAGAGAGTCAGCATGTTGCCCCCAACAATCTGAGTCCTCGTTTTACTGACATCAGAAGGAAGACTGAGTCAACCTGGATCAAACTCCAGGCTGTGGGCAGAGTTAGCCTGCAATGCTACATTCTAACCACTGCAGCACCATGCCAGATAGATTAGATTAGATAGATAGATAGATAGATAGATAGATAGATAGATAGATAGATAGATAGATAGATAGATAGACAGACAGACAGACAGACAGACAGACAGAGATAGCCCTTAGACATATATCGCTTCACAATGCTTTACAGCCCTCTCTAAGCAGTTTACAGAGGCAGCCTCTTGCCCCCAACAATCTGGGTCCTCATTTTACTGACCTCGGAAGGATGGAAGCTGAGTCAACCTTGAGCCAGGCAGGATCGAACTGCTGGCAGTTGGCAGCCTGCAATGCTGCCTTCTAACCACTGCTCCACCAGGGCCCTTCCTTCCTCCCTCCCTCCCTTTTCCTTCCTTAATCTTCCTTCCTTCCTTAAGACTTAGCAATAGCACCTAGACTTATATACCGCTTCACAGTGCTTCACAGCCCTCTCTGAGCGGTTTACAGAGTCAGCCTCTTGCCCCCAGCTATCTGGGTCCTCATTTTCTCGAAGGATGGAAGGCTGAGTCAACCTTGAGTTGGTGAGACGTGAACTGCCAAACTGCTGGCAGTCAAGAGTCAGCAAAAGTAGCCTGCAGTACTGCATTCTAACCACTGCACCACCACTTTAATTATTCTCATGCATGCAGTTGTACTGCACTCCTCTGTTTAGGTCAGGGGTAGGCAACCTTGGCTCTTATATGACTGGTGGACTTCAACTCCCAGAATTCTTGAGCCAGCCATGCTGAGGGGAAAGGGAGAGGTTTCCAAGCTGAGCCATGCTGGCTCAGGAATTCTGGGTGTTGAAGTCCACGAGTCAGGAGGGGGCCATAGTTCCCCCATGCTGGCTCAGGAATTCTGGGAGTTGAAGTCCACGAGTCATGAGGGGGGCATAGTTCCCTCACGCTGGCTCAGGAATTCTGGGAGTTGAAGTCCACGAGTCATGAGGGGGGCATAGTTCCCCCATGCTGGCTCAGGAATTCTGGGAGTTGAAGTCCACGAGTCATGAGGGGGCCATAGTTTCCCCCATGCTGGCTCAGGAATTCTGGGAGTTGAAGTCCACGAGTCTTAAAGTTGCCAAGTTTGAAGACCCCTGGTTTAAATATTCAAATATTTAAACCAGGGGTCACACGATCAAAATTCAGGCATTTGGGCAGGGGTAGGCAACCTTGGCTCTTTTATGACTCGTGNCAAGTTGGCAACTAGCAAGCATTTATGACAGTTGCACTGTCCCGGGGGTCATGCGAAACCTTACTTTTTTTTTGCAACATGAGCCAAAAAGATTGCGTTATGACACAAGTGACATCTGATAGGCCCAATATATGGACTACAGTCTGGTGCCTCATAACTACGCTTCTACAGTTTTAGCTGATGTATTTTTGCAGTTTGCAAATCGGGGTTTGATCTCTTTATATGCTATGCCAGCACACAGCTATTTGAGGTTAATTAAACAAATCACAGTGAAACAAATCGCGCCTAGCATTAATAAAGGAAACCAAATCAGGAAAATTAGTGAAGCTTGGAAAAAAAACAAAACACTAGACCTGATCAGTGGGGTGAATAAATTCTTTAGAGAATCTTTCGGCAGGTAGAGCATCCCAGCAAATGCATGCAGAGAAAGAAATGGTTTTTATTTCGAGCACTGCCACTTCACTTCATTACAGTCTTATTTAATTAAGAATCCTTCACAGGTAATTTCACAGGAAAAGGACAGTAACTGGAGCTACGCATTTTACTAAGCCATACGAATGTTGGCATGAGTGGACTTTACCGTAACGTGTAAACCCAGCCCGAGGCACATGAGAAATATCCTTGTAGCTCCAAGACAAAAAAAAAAAAAGCACCGTTCGAATAGGAAAAATAGCGATTTCCAGAAGTGCTACAAAACATTTGCAACTTTAACTGACCAAAAGTGTGAAAAATGGACATAAATCACTTTTTCTCAGTGGTGTTGTAACTTGTAACTTTGAACGGCCACTAAATGAACTGTTGGAAGTCAAGGACTATCTGTACAAACTGCAGGGTTTTATTCTTGTGCCCCTTTGCATCACTTCCAACGTTTATTCCCTTAAAAGGACATCCTATCGACGTCATTATTCTCAAGTTTTCAAATGCAGGATTTAATGTTTAATATTTAATAATAATGTAATAACGCAGGACTGAGTATTTCAACGTTAAGCAGCCACTGCTTATACCAGTGTTTCTCAACCTTGACAATTTTAAGGCATGTGGACTTCAACTCCCAGAATTCCACAGCCAGCGGGAGTTGAAGTCCACATGCCTTAAAATTGTCAAGGTTGAGAAATACTGGCTTATACAAAAGCTATTGTAATACCCCGGGCTGCTGAACTGACTGATAGTTTCATTTGCTCAGACCATGTTTTTGCTACATTTATCTTACTCTCCCATTTGTTTCTTCTTGCTGTTCTAGTTCGTATCCTGAAAAACGGTGACCTCTGATATATATTTTTTTTAAATGGGTACAACAAAGCACAATTACTACTCTTGTCCCACATTCCATAGCGAAGGCCACTTAGGGAAACAAAATCACATCCCTGAAGGTATCGGGAACAGTGGTGTAGGAATGCAGAACAGTTTTGTGTTTTAAAAGTTACGTAAGGTTTTTTTAAAAGGTACACATGAATGCAGCTACATGGGAACAAGTTGTTATGAGCATCCTTGCCTTCAACTGCCTGAAAATTCTGTTAAGTTTTCTGACCTTTTGGAAGAGTTTGAAAACCCAGGTCTGTCAACACGCATGGGGCTCACAGAGAAACAGACAAGCAATAAAGATGATCAGGGCACTGGAGGCTAAAACATGTAAGGAACGGTTGCTGGAATTGGGTATGTCTAGTTTAACGAAGAGAAGGACGAGGGGGGACATGATAGCAGTCTTCCAGTATCTCAGGGGCTGCCCCAAAGAAGAGGGAGTCAAGCTCTTCTCCAAGGCGCCTGAAGGCAGGACAAGAAGCAACGGATGGAAACTCACCAAGGAGAGAAGCAACCTAGAACTAAGGAGAAACTTCCTGACAGTTAGAACAATTAACCAGTGGAACAACCTGCCTCCAGAAGCTGTGAATGCTCCAACACAGAAAGTTTTTAAGAAGAGACTAGACAGCCATTTGTCCGAAATGGTACAGGGTTTCCTGCCTGAGCAGGGGGTTGGACTAGATGACCTCCAAGGTCCCTTCCAACTTTATTATTATTATTAATAGAGAATACTTGTAACTCACAGTTGAACTAGGGCAGGGGTAGGCAACCTTGGCTCTTTTATGACTCGTGGACTTCAACTCCCAGAATTCCTAAGCCAGCCACGCTGAGGGGAAAGGGAGAGCTTTCCATGCTGAGCCATGCTGGCTCAGGAATTCTGGGAGTTGAAGTCCACGAGTCATAAAAGAGCCAAGGCTGCCTACCCCTGAACTAGGGGGTCCTTGGTGCTCTGTGCTTAGTGGTTTTCTTGCAAATGTTTCCTTACCAAACTAGGTAACGTCATCAGTGCTTGAAGGGAGTGGGATTTGTAGAGAGGTTGAGGAGGACTGTGGGGTCCTTGGTCCTCTCTGGGCTGGTTTACTTGCAGACGTTTCATTACCAAACTAGGTAACATCATCAGTGTTAGAACACAAGCTTTTGAGTTGGTTAATGCCTTGAAGGCACTTCCTCCTGTTTTTTTTTTCACTTTTATTATTCTACCCTTAGGAACCTCCTTTTACTAAGATACAATATTTTATATGGTTTTTATTTACAATGATACACTGCCCAGAGTTACCCTGTGAATGAGATGGGCGGTTTCTAAATTTGACCAATCAATAAAATAAAAATAAATAACTGAAAAAACTAGCAGAGCTCCGAGCATACCAACAGTGGTCTCCCAACATGCTAAGCCTAAATGATGACTTATGGGCCAACTTGTTTTTATGTTGTTTTTACATTTTACAGTAGTTGTTGGTTGTTTTACTGTTGATGTGTTTGGAGTCTTATTATATACGCTGCCCAAAGTCACTATGTGCGATGGGCAGCTACACAAATGTGATTAAATAAACTTCAATATCCCCATTCCAACCCAACAGAGAAAATGGGGGGTTTTTTTCATAAAATTTTGGTTTTTTAAAATGTGTGGCATAGCATTTTGTGTGAGCAAAGGAGCCACTGCACAAGGCAGAATAACACCGCAAATGCTGAATGCAAGGTATTTTGACCATTTCTGGCAGAATCGTCTTCAGAAAATACTTCCAGAAAATCCTATGCAGGCTTACTAGTAACCCTCAAGTTAAAACCACTTATTTAGTGACCGTTCAAACTTACGGCACTGAAAGGATGACTTAGGAACAGTCCTTGCAGGTACAACCCTCGTAGCATCCCCGTGATCATGTGATCAAAATTCAGGCACTAAGCAACCCACATACAATCACAATAATTGCAGCATCTCAGGGTGATGTGATCACCATTTAAAACCTTCCCACTGTCTTCCTACAAGCAAGGTCAATGGGACAAGCCGGATTCACTTAACAACTGTGTGATTCCACTTAGCGACCATG